AGGAGAGAGAGGAACGGAGACGGAGAGAGGAAAGGAAAAGAGGAGAGAGTGAAGAGGAGAGGTGAGGGACGAGGATGACCAGAAGGCAATGGAGAGCTTGAGAGCTTTTTGACAATTTAGAGTATATGAGATGGAAGAGAGAGAGGATGAGAGAAGTAGGAGAGGAGCGCGATGAGGAGAATTGAACAGTGAGAGAGAGAAAGCGAGAGAGTCACGGATGAGAGGTGAGCGAGGAGAGATAGAAAGGAGTGGAAGAGGAGAAGAGAGAGAGGAAGAGCAGGTTGAAGCTTTATTAGAGTGAGGAGAGGATGACGAGATGATGAGAGAGAAGGAATAGAGAGAGGAGAGAGGAGAGAGGAGAGAGAGCCGAGAGAGGATGAGAGAGGAGAAGGAGTGAGAGAGAGGAGGAGAAGAGATGAGAGAAAGAGACCAAGATGAGACGATGGAGGAGAGACAGAGATGAGGAGAGAGAGAGAGAGAGAGAGAGAGAGAGAGAGAGAGAGAGAATAATAAAGCAAAATCCTTAAGTTATTCCCGCACGTAGGAATGGAAACACCTTTATAGACGGCACTTCTTTATATCATATCTTGGCAGTCCTAAAAAATCTACAGTTCCAATTAAATGAAAGATAAACTCGTTAAACTGCAATGCAAAATATCCCTCTTGACAATGTTATGAAGATATATCGTTTAGAATGTGCTAAGCATGAGGCCATGACTATGGGTCTGTTCATCAACAAGTATAATTCATACAATGATGATAGCGTCGTATTTGCTTATGTATTAATCAAAATTGTAACGATAAAAGCCTCATGCGAATTAAAAACCTTCCCAGGTGGAAGGTATGTCCCAGGGGCGGATCTGCTGCCTCCCTTTCCGCGCGCCCGCATCTGAGCGCCAGGAAATCTGCATACGGACAGCCAGTATAGCAAGGAAGGACGCGATGATCACCCAAAAGAACGTCCAAAACGCACGCGCCGCCGTTCCCTTCAGGGCCGCGTAGAGTATAATATAGGAGAGATCAGAGATTGGACACACGCACACACACACATATATATGTATGTATATACATATACGTATTGTCAACAATATGGTCAAACCGAATGGGTGTTCGCATTTCGCATATTGGCCCTAGCTGCTGCCTGACTTCCTCGCACCGCACCTACCATGCCTGAGCCTTGTTTGCCCAAGTACTTTCTCCCCCTCAAGCAATGCCTGCGAACTCACCCCCTTTGTTTTGGAATTCATTTAAGGATTATTAAAAGTATCAAGTGCCATTCCTTTAACTCATAACTGAACCTAAATCGCTTTCATGATGCCTTCTCGAGTTCAACATCTTGTCCTTAGTAATGCTGGAATCATGCTCCTTTAGTATTAAGGTATTGGTGAATATGTAACATGTAACTAACTGATGGAGTCAAAATCTGTTGCAATAAGGGTAAGGCACAGCAGACACCATGCTTTATATAGGCTTACATAGTCATTATCACCACAATTTAGTTTTAAGCCGGCTCATGGCCGTAACAAGTGTCGAAGAAATCGCGCCCAGACGCCTGTTGAATCTACTACGAAAGAGTCACGCCTGCCGCATGTTGTTACTCGCTACTTTATATCTAGGCCAAGCTGCATACATGTGTCTGAAGCAAAATTACTCGCCTATTTAGCTCGAAGATATGGAATTCAGGCTCACTGACTTTTCTCTCTACAAAATAATGGTACTCTATTGAACTCACTAATCCTAACAGATCCTGAGTAATTAGAACCTCATATGACACATTACCTCTCTTGTGACATTGTTCTTATTACGCTCTCATTTTCTGGCATCTTAGTAAGGTACTGACAAGTAAATTATCCTCCTCCTCCTAAACCCTTTTACTGGCTTGGTACACTTATATTTCAGCCCCTGAAAACGATGTGACCATCCTTGCTACTGAATGTTGCAACTCACTGCGAAACCTCCGCCACGCTGCTACCCTGACATGAGACGACCTAAGGGACCATGAAGCAAAAACAAGCATCTGTAGAAGCCCATTGCGAGCCTGCCACCAGACGCGCCATCAGTGCATAAGACGTTACAGATAGCTCAATGGGGTACTTTTTCCCCACGAGCAATTCCGGCGAACTCACCCCCTTTGTCACGGCCGGAAGAACTGACACCCCAAAATACAGAAGAAGGCACCTACCCAGGACAAGAGTCGCTGGATAAAAGGACATCTCGTCAGGCAGAGAGAGAGACCTGAGAGACAGGAGAACAGGAGCAGACGCAGACCAGATCAGGTCACCCTCCGCCCTCGGCACAAGGGGCACGGGTCTCTCGTGGGGTCACACATTTACCTTCCCCAATAAACAAGCAAGCCAAGACCCCTTTCATTCACCACCTATACGCCCCCAACTTTTATATATATATATATATATATATATATATATATATATATATATATATATAATATATATATATTATATATATATGTTATAGTACAGATACAGAGATAGATAGATAGATATATGTATTGATTTACAAATACCACACACACACACACACATATATATATATGTGTGTGTGTAGATAGATAGATATGTATGTATGCATATGTAAACTTATATGTATTATATGTACTTTGTTATTTATATATATATATATATTATATATATATATAGATAGATATAGATATAGATAGAGAGATATATGATTGATATATATAAATGTATACATATATCAATATCTATATCTATCTATCTATATATAGATAAATAGATATTTATATGTATGTATGTATTTATTGTATGTATCTACACCACACACATATATAAATATATATATATATATATATATATATATTATATATATATATATATATATATACACATACATACATACATACATACATACATATATACATACATGTGTAGTGTGTGTTGCGTGTGTGTGTGCGTGTGTGCGTGTGCGTGTGCGTGTGCGTGTGCGGGTGCGTGCCGTGCGCACGTGCGGGTGTGGGTGTGCGTGTGCGTGTCCAAAATACATATCCAATAACGGCCCCCTCCATCGGGGACCGAGGGGCTGTGAAAAATGCCCCCTAAAACCCATCATAAGACGTTCTAGTAGCATAAAACTGTCAACATTCGAAAGGGTTCTAACATTTTATGCAAATTACGAACGTTCGACGGCTTGCTTGTGGAAAAGAATGAAGGGCAGTAACTGATCACAAAAGGGGCGATGCGCTATTCTCCGCTTAAGCTCGCACAATCGACGCTTCACATTAATCCCGCGTCTCCCGGAAGTTATTTTTCCGAACAAATCCCAGCTGAGCTCCTGATGGAAGGTGACGGGGGCGGTGAGAACGGCTCCGGCTGCGTTCCTGCGGAGGGCTTGTGTGAGGACCACGTCTTGGGGATCGGGGCACGAGGCGAGCAGGGCTGGGGCTGTCGGGCGGGCTGGGACCAAGAGGCAGCGAAGGAAATAATCTGAGGAGAGCAGCCAAGCACGAGAGCAGCTCCAGACCAGCCCCTTGTAGAAGCAGAAACTTGTAGGTGCCGGACATCAGGCCCGAGCTCGCTTGGTCTCCATGACAACCAGACAGTAGCCACCACAGGGGACGAGCACAGGGGAGGCGGCGGCCCAGTGTGGAATGACTAATGAATTCTATTGTTACTGGTACCCACTGTAACCACTGCATTTGAGAAGATCGATAAACGTAGAGTTTCCACTCAAGAAAAAATGTGTAAAGCAAATATATGGCATGCGAGTTTACGAGTTACTGACGTATACGAATTTAAGCCAAAACATGTACCTTTTCACAAACAGTAATTTCAGAGATAAATATCACAAAGTAAATCTAATACATTTTCGCTTGGACGTATGACCTCAGCCCTCCATTAGCACTTCCACTTACTCCCTCAGCGGCCTCTGTTTCCGGTCCTTTCTGGCCCCTCCTTCTCCTCTTAACTGACTGGTACCGCCCCACAACGCTCCCCTCCGGCCTCTGTCCGTCCCCACGGAGAAAGCCAAGATGTGAAAGTACTCAAAGGGTCCACAAATAACTGCGACTGATCTTGGATGCGGTACCACATACGGGAATATGTGGTTGTGCGTAGACTTTGGGTTGCGTTGTGCGCATGTATGTGTGTATGTGATTACAAATCTGTGTTTCAAAGTGTATCGTTTTACGTGTTCCTATGATATTCAAGTTCTTGAAGACTTGACGAGAAGCAAGTGAGGAGAGTCGCATTAGGCGATCCCAAGAAATGTGTGGAGGTAATCTTCTAGAATGCATTAATTCACTTCATATTATATTCATCGTCATGCTTAGGCCTAAATGGGTATAGACAGTACATCGTTGCAATTAAGTGTCTCCTTCAAGGTCCGAGGGGCGCCCCGCCGACTCCTTCTACTAACTCCCTCTGGTCCCCTGCCCTCCTCCCTCTCCGTTCCTCTCCCTTCCCTCGAGAGCGCCTTCCGTCCGGCCCGCATCCCGAGCCTCAATCCCTCTTCCCGTCCGTCCAAGCCCCGT